CGACAATAGGAATTTCGCCAACTGAATTTGGACAGTGTCCAAATTACGATAGAATTTCGACAATTGTCCAAATTCTACCGGAGGTTCGACAAAATTGTCGAATTTACAGCGTCGTCCAAATTCCTGAGGAATAACGACAAAATTTTCTTTTTGCTGCGATTTTTAATGTCCATTTTCCGACGGAATTTCGACAGAGCTTTATTCAAAAAATGCGTTTGAAACAATATATATATGGATATCGATGGCTGATGATTGATACCGTACTATATGGTATATACACATGTAGTCCCTGATCTCTAATTTTTTAATCGAACACGCTATAATCTTTTTATTGTGTCTTTTGATCAAAACCATCTCTTTGTTCGAGATGTTTACACTTGTTTTGATAGTGTATGAAGAAGATTTTGCGTTCCTCTGTACATTATCATTCCAGGTCATGTTTGTCTATACTCTCGAATACATATTACTTAACGGATGAAAAATACAACGATTCTCCTCTGAATCTGTTATGTGCATCCTTTGTTTGACCTCGATGTCATCATATATATATGTGCCTCATCAGATGTATTCATATATCGAGGTGAACAAAGGAAAAGGGCTGGTAGTTTGTTCACTTGTGTAGGCACGAGTATATAAGCCGTTCGTCCTGTTTATTCATTTCATACCAACTTTTACTTTAACATCAAGATATTCTTCATCGTACATCCAACTACAATCTATTTAATTCATTATAAATGGTAGCTACCACTCGTTCTGCTGCAGCACGCCGACAACGATCACCAAGTACAAATAATGTAAATTCACCTGCTAGTGTCAACAAAGCACATAGTAAGAAAAAGAAGAAGGTGGCCAAACAGCATATACCACCATTCACCGAATTGATATCAACAGAACCAATGATTACGACGACAACAGCGTGTCCAAATGTAATTGGTATGTTTGAATATTTGTTATTAAATAGATAAAAATTATTTATATGTTTAGATGACACGACAACAGCGTCACCGCCAGCTTGTACGCTCGAAACTGCTTTACATCATCAAGATCATCATAGTATTAGCAATAATATCAACAATGATGAACAGAATCTTGGTTTTCTGTCAACATCGATTCACTCTATTAATAACGACCTGCACGATAATGTATGTGTAATCGATGATAACAATGAATTCTATGCAGTAACGTCATGGTCAGTGGATACTGGTGAAATCGAATGGTGTAAAACGAATCGTGGCAATGATAGATTATGTATGTGAGGATATACGTACGACTTCATGTCAGAATTAATTAAAAAGAACCAACGGACGTTTCGTTGTTCAAAAAAAGGAACCGGCTGCCGAACAATTATTTACATCCGCATTAATACAAGCAGATATAAGAGTTCAAACTTTGTTGAACGCAATCATCCACCAAATTATCAGAATGCTAAACGTTTACTGATTTTACAGAAAATAAAGGACCGCGTGTTGTCAGAACCTTCATCAGTCACACGTATTATAGAAGATGAATATATAAAAGGCAATTTGAACAGTGAAGAACGGTGCCATTTTTTATTACCACAAGCGCAAGGTAGGGGAACTTTTCCGATAAAGTTTCGTATGAGAGACTATATCGAAGTGGAAAAACTATAAATACATATTGTTTTCTTTGTCTAGCTTCCAAATTTTACAAAATTCGGGCAGAATTATTGCCACCTACTCCGAAGTCATTGGATTTTGAAGTTCCCACTTTTTATTCAACAACACACCAAGGTGAAACTTTTCTTCTCTATGACGCAACTCACAAGAAATTGGGCGGACGATTAATGATCTTTTCCACAAGATATTTGATTCAAATGCTATGTAGTTGTGAAGTTACTCTGGTAGACGGTACATTTAAGACTCGTCCGACGATGTTCTCCCAAGTATATGTTATAATGGGTCAACATCTTGACGAAGGTACCATTTAATTTTTTATTCGACAAATTACTATTAACTTACAAGGGTTTTTTAAATTTAGCTATTCCGTTAGTATGGTGTCTTGCTCCAAAAAGAACTCAAGGAGTTTATGAGAAAATATTCAAATTTTTAATGAGAAAATCAATGGAATTCGGCTTCAATTTCGAGGCAAAGTGTGCTTATTTGGACTTCGAGCTCGCAACGCTCAATGCATTGGAGAAAATGGTAAGTGTAATTATTCCTTAAATCGACGATATTTTCTTTTTCGTTTTTATTCAGTTTCCAGATATATCTATTCATGGATGTTGGTATCATTTTACACAAAGTGTGTATAGAAATATCCAGAAAATTGGCTTATCAACGTTGTACGATCAAAATGAAGAAACTAAGGTTTGGTTGAAATCATTCATGGCATTACCATTAGTGAAAGACACTGTAGTGCGTGCTGCTACTGATTATTTGATCGATAATCCACCAGTGTCTCACCATTTATTAAATGAATTCAGCGATTATTTTCGTAAACAATGGATTGATCGTGTACCAGTAAAATATTGGAACTTGGGACCTATTCATCTTCGATGTAACAATANCGATCAAAATGAAGAAACTAAGGTTTGGTTGAAATCATTCATGGCATTACCATTAGTGAAAGACACTGTAGTGCGTGCTGCTACTGATTATTTGATCGATAATCCACCAGTGTCTCACCATTTATTAAATGAATTCAGCGATTATTTTCGTAAACAATGGATTGATCGTGTACCAGTAAAATATTGGAACTTGGGACCTATTCATCTTCGATGTAACAATATCATGGAAGGTGCGTAGTGTTCAAATACAACGGAGAGGAAACAAAAATTGTTTGTCGCTCATTTAGGATACAATAACCGTTTACAACATCGATTTGGTGCGCATCCAAAATCATGGTCTTTTATTCATTTCCTCAAAGGTGAAGAAGCTATCATTATCATGCGAACAGCTCAAATACAAAGTGGCAACTATCGTCAAAAGGCAATGCCATTTTCATTCGGTAATGAACAAGGAAGAAAAAAAACGAAACAAATAAAAAATCTGTGGCGTTTATTTCAAGTTAGTAAAATTACATTACAAAAATATGTTACAAACCTATCGTACTTTGTTGGTGAATCACCAATGATAAGAAAAAAGAAGGATAGTCAAAATCCAACATCTCCAGACGACGACAAGAATGTTGGTGATAAAAATAGTGATTGATGGTTTTATGCTTTATCACAAATCTTTTATTTATCTATTCGTATTTGAATAGATTTCGAGAGTACTAGAATCAACTATGTGAGAAAAATGAAATATTATCATTGTGTAGATCCTTTTCTTTTCACATCTCTTGTTATTGTTATTTATTTTCTTAATCGAATTTTTGTTTACAAATTGTTTTCCGTATTCTTTTTTCTTGTTATTGTCGATATTGATCTAAGAAAAATAATCTTCAAGTGGTTGACTAAAGAATACATCATTCTTTCTAATTAATCTTTTCTTTTTTTGCCTTTGAATTGAAGAAATAGAAGGTCTCGATTATTTTGTCGTGTTACTAGTGTAAAATGACCAAGAAAATAAGTTTCAAATGACAAATGTTGTCGAAAGTCTGTTGCAAAATGGACATTAAAAATCGCAGCAAAAAGAAAATTTCGTCGTTATTCCTCAGGAATTTGGACAACGCTGTAAATTGGACAATTTTGTCGAACCTCCGGTAGAATTTGGACAATTGTCGAAATTCTATCGTAATTTGGACACTGTCCAAATTCAGTTGGCGAAATTCCTATTATCGGATTTCAGTTTTACCCGGAAATCACACTACAACCAGAAGTCTTCGCAAGAAACGGCCACTACATCAGGCTGCAACATACATGTTTTAATTCAGAAACAACGTTATACTCATTCATGTATACGTATATCATATCCAACGAACACCGTTCAAACGTACTCCCACAGGACAATCCTACTTCCACTGGATTCATCGTGCAGCCTAATATGCACTCTACAGTTCATCCACGACACAGCCACCCACTCTTTCAATTAACCAAGCAAAACTCAACGGCTAAAAAACATTTTCCCGTTCCAGCATCTCGCTCTTCTTCTCCTAAGATTCAACTATCGCAACAAATATGAACCATATTCGTTTCTACTCCACCGCCAACATATTCATATCACTTCCACGCTCATCAAAACAGTCCCCGCAATGTATCCGATACTATATTCACACCCGCCCCACACTAACACCGTCATAGTCTAGAACTGACTCTAACACATTATATCCCACCGACACTCGATATCAACATAACGATCACCAACTCTTAGTCGTCGCTTTCTCAGCCACCCTGCACAGATGTATCTGAACGAAGACCTCAGAACACTCATGGCAATTTTCCAAAACGTCTGACGACCGTCCCCGCACTAACTATCATCCATATCGTACACACCATAAAACCGCCACGGAATAATCCTAGTTCTAAACAAATATCATACTGCAAACTTCTTCATTTCTTGTCACAGACAAAGCCCAATTTTTTTGCCACCCGACTGATCGGCAATTCGGTATCTCCACTTTCTTCTTGACTTATGCTCGAAACACGTACCGAATTCAATGAAAATATCACTCGATCCACTTCTTCCACTATAAATACTACCAATAGAATTTATCTTTTCATTGCAGTCGATTCAGCATGCCTAGATCAGTCTAGAATCCGTGGGTTTGATTTTATCTCTACGCTCCTTCTGATTATGCTCGAAACACGTACCGAAGTCAATGAAAATATCACTCAATCCACTTCTTCCATTATGAATACTACCAATAGAATTTATCTTTTCATCGCAGTCGATTCAGCATGCCTAGCTCAGTCCAGAATCTGTGCGTTTTATTGGATCTGCACTTTCTTCTTGACTTATGCTCGAAACACGTACCGCATTCGATGAAAATATCACTCAATCCGCTTCTTCCATTATGAATACTACCAATAGAATTTATCTTTTCATCGCAGTCGATTCAGCGTGCCTAGCTCAGTCCAGAATCTGTGCGTTTTATTTGATCTGCACTTTCTTCTTGACTTATGCTCGAAACACGTACCGCATTCGATGAAAATATCACTCAATCCACTTCTTCCATTATGAATACTACCGAAAGAATTTATCTTTTCATCGCAGTCGATTCAGCATGCCTAGCTCAGTCCAGAATCTGTGCGTTTTATTGGATCTGCACTTTCTTCTTGACTTATGCTCGAAACACGTACCGAAGTCAATGAAAATATCACTCAATCCACTTCTTCCATTATGAATACTACCAATAGAATTTATCTTTTCATCGCAGTCGATTCAGCATGCCTAGCTCAGTCCAGAATGTGTGCGTTTTATTGGATCTGCACTTTCTTCTTGACTTATGCTCGACACACGTACCGCATTCGATGAAAATATCACTCAATCCACTTCTTCCATTATGAATACTACCAATAGAATTTATCTTTTCATCGCAGTCGATTCGGCATGCCTAGGTCAGTCCAGAATGTGTGGGTTTTATAGGATCTGCACTTTCTTCTTGACTTATGCTCGAAACACGTACCGAAGTCAATGAAAATATCACTCAATCCGCTTCTTCCATTATGAATACTACCAATAGAATTTATCTTTTCATCGCAGTCGATTCGGCATGCCTAGCTCAGTCCGGAATGTGTGCGTTTTATTGGATCTGCGCATTCTTCTTGACTTATGCTCGACACACGTACCGAAGTCAATGAAAATATCGCTCAATCCACTTTTTCCACTATAAATACTACCAATAGAATTTATCTTTTCGTTGCAGTCGACGCAGTATACCTAGATCAGTGCAGAATCTGTGCGTTTTATTCGATCTGCACTTTCTTCTTGACTTATGCTCGAAACTCGTACCGAAGTCAATGAAAATATCACTCAATCTACTTCTTCCGCTATAAATACTACCTATAGAATTTATCTTTTCGTTGCAGTCGACGCAGTATACCTAGATCAGTCCAGAATGTGTGCGTTTTATTCGATCTGCACTTTCTTCTTGACTTATGCTCGAAACTCGTACCGAAGTCAATGAAAATATCACTCAATCCACTTCTTCCACTATAAATACTACCTATAGAATTTATCTTTTCGTTGCAGTCGATTCAGCATGCCTAGCTCAGTCCAGAATGTGTGGGTTTTATTGGATCTGCACTTTCTTCTTGACTTATGCTCGACACACGTACCGCATTCGATGAAAATATCACTCAATCCACTTCTTCCATTATGAATACTACCAATAGAATTTATCTTTTCATCGCAGTCGATTCGGCATGCCTAGCTCAGTCCAGAATGTGTGCGTTTTATTGGATCTGCACTTTCTTCTTGACTTATGCTCGAAACACGTACCGCATTCGATGAAAATATCACTCAATCCACTTCTTCCACTATAAATACTACCAATAGAATTTATCTTTTCATTGCAGTCGATTCAGCATGCCTAGCTCAGTCCAGAATGTGTGGGTTTTATTGGATCTGCGCTTTCTTCTTGACTTATGCTCGAAACACGTACCGCATTCGATGAAAATATCACTCAATCCACTTCTTCCATTATGAATACTACCAATAGAATTTATCTTTTCATCGCAGTCGATTCAGCATGCCTAGCTCAGTCCAGAATCTGTGCGTTTTATAGGATCTGCACTTTCTTCTTGACTTATGCTCGAAACTCGTACCGAAGTCAATGAAAATATCACTCAATCTACTTCTTCCGCTATAAATACTGCCTATAGAATTTATCTTTTCGTTGCAGTCGACGCAGTATACCTAGATCAGTCCAGAATGTGTGCGTTTTATTCGATCTGCACTTTCTTCTTGACTTATGCTCGAAACACGTACCGAAGTCAATGAAAATATCGCTCAATCCACTTTTTCCACTATAAATACTACCAATAGAATTTATCTTTTCGTTGCAGTCGACGCAGTATACCTAGATCAGTGCAGAATCTGTGCGTTTTATTCGATCTGCACTTTCTTCTTGACTTATGCTCGAAACCCGTACCGAAGTCAATGAAAATATCACTCAATCCACTTCTTCCACTATAAATACTACTGATAGAATTTATCTTTTTATTGCAGTCGATTCAGCATGCCTAGATCAATCTAGAATCTGTGGGTTTTATTTGATCGCCATTTTCTTCTTCTTGAGCTATGCTCTAAACACCTCCCGAATTGAATGTAAATATCAGTAAATCCACTTTTTCTACTATAGGCACTACGAGTAGGGTGTTTGTTTTGATACTGGCGATAATGAATGTCGTTGTCGGTTACGGCTGATAGTGTATGTCTCGATCGCTTTTTTGCATGGTAGTATTTTATGGGAACGTGGGCGATAATGTTTTGCGTCTTGATGGGCGTGGACAGAGTCGTGCAGTTGATAAGTTCTAGTAGTGTGGAGTAATCGGTTCTCTTATGGTTCCTATTTATGCTGCAGTAGTTAATTGTTTGGCTTTGACACTGGATATTTAGTACTTTCAGTTTGCTGGATGTGAATGGCGGCCAGAGTTGCCGTTGCGTGAATTGGAAGGCACGCTGGTTAAGTAGTAATCACGAACGGAATGTATGGTTTGAATAAGGAAGAAGAATAGCTTGCGTCAAGCTTTTGGTCATGGTGGATAGGAGTTCGAGCAGTTGTGAGACTGAATTCGGTACGCGGTGATAGAAGTGTTGGAGGAATTACAGAACGATGTGGGTGATTGATAGTTGAACTTGTTTTCTCGTAAACGAAAGCGTGTCGATGATCACCTCTGTCTTCGTCGTCGCTGCTGTAAGCCGTACTTGATAGGGGGGATTGATTTACTGGTCGATTCGAATATAAACTTGATGTCGGAATGTAGTTGTCAATAGATATATTGTGACAAACCAGGTGCAAAACAGCAGTTTTCGTTTGCTTTGCGTCTGATTTCTGCTAGATCTTTTCAGGGAAAATAAGTTATACTTTCCGTCTTAGTCCAAAGTGATTGGGCATCAGCGTGAAGTGGACAGTGATTCAGAGCACTTTTGTACACGGTTCGATTTCGAAAGAAGTTCTTCTCTCTACCCGAAACGAGCGTTTTGAGGTGCTCATGAAACGACAGAATTGCATTCTTCGTCAGAAGTGTGCTGATGATATATTAGACGTGATCGACGTGCAGAAAGATTAGATGACGCAGGAATTCACTCATGCAGAGATGATAACTGAACTAAGATCAGATCGGATCATTTGATCACAGTATCAACATAGAGCTTGATTTTCTTTGCTGCAAGAACTGGTTGATATAATCAATCGTATAGAAACGAAGCGAATCGGCCAAGTAATCCAATATCGTTTAGTGTTTTGACGTGAAATGATTCCCGACGATCGCAAGATCATGAAGCTTGCTTCTGCAGTCGCAAGGCAGAATAAGAGACGAGTGAACATTCAGCTGCTGTCATCGTGCCATGCCTCTTTGTATTCTGTAGTCTATATGCAGTGATAGCTATTGTTCACGTCGTGATATCGGAATGGTTTTATTCGAACGTGAACGTGAACAATCGACTGCTGATCGACAAAGGTTTCGATCGTACTTGTTCACATCGATGACAATCTAGTATACAAACAGCAATTAGTACATTCCACCTTTGTTTCATCTTCTCGGAATTATTTATCAACAGTACCATTCACTAGAAAGTCATTCGTCAGCAGAAATATTCCAAACAATTGTCCACAACACAAATAAACATCCTTTGTTTTCTGTTCGATATCACCTTTTTGTTTAGTGTTAACACAGAATAAAACGGAGTTCGCAAAACAGCTAAATTCACGCTCTTCTCATGTGCTTAACTTACGCAGCAATAGTGGTCTGTTTCCGTTAATCACACAATCCCATTACAGTCGTTTCAATCACGTGAGCATCATTTTTAATAGGCATCCTTGACGAAATAGACTTTGAGAAATATCAGCATACGACAGATATAGGAACGCAGATCATTGGAAACACTTCATATGATCGTTCGTTTACAGTGGATGTTGTTTCCATCGAGGATATTATCCTCAACGGGTTACTCATGACTAATATGTTCGGATCAACCCATGCATTGTTTTCCGACTATCGCTGGACTCACCTCGAATGACGGCTTTTCAATTATCGTTGCTGAACAAATAGGGAACCTTTGTGATCTCTGTTGATCTATTCGTTCATACATTCAAGCTTCACAAGAGTCAGCATTCCTAACAGATGGCAACAATCGTTGTACTCGTCATCTGACTTGAATACGTTTTACAGTTGCCGTTGACGATTGTTTCAATTAGCTCACATGTGCACTTGATTATGATGTACGCGTAGAGCGAATCGGAACTGTTCTATTGGAAACAGATTTAGGTGATACATATGATTGTTTACTTTGTTCGATGTAACTGTGATTTCGTTCATGAGTGGTGGTACGCATTCACATTTCTTCGCCTCATCGCGAAGAGTAGGATATATAGACTTTTCACTTTCGTTTTGTCCTGCTTATTCGATAAGGAACAGCATGACGTATGGTATTCGAAAATAAGTGACCGTAACTCTCTCCTATCTTCAGATGCGGAAATTCTTTCACTTTCAAATGAGAGAAATCAAACGCCAAAAATCTGACTGTGCTAATGAAAAAAAGTAACGCTCATCCTTTGGATTCGCTGACACTTTTCTGAAAGACTTTTCCCAATGCTGAACACATTCAGAGACTTTGAAAGCGAAAAAGCGCACTGCGATTACTACTAGTGTTCAACTGAAGCATGGCACTATGTCACTTACTAGAACTAGAATGAATAGAATACAGAGGTCTTTTTAGGGATCAGGCCGATTAGCCATTTGTCCACGGATAATTCTCCAGCACTAACTATGTTGACGGAAAAATTCATCGCTGAACGACTAGCCAGGCGGCCACTCACGGCCAAACATTGACCTTTGTCATCTGTTTTTCTATTTTCACATCACGTCCATGGAAGTTTTCATGAATGCTTTACTAAGTCACTCATAGACGGACGATATACAGGAGACTACTGGAAACGTTTGAACATTCGCCTGTGTCTTCGAGAGGTAAACCGATTCTTTTCTCTTCTGCCAACAGAATGATACCTTGTCGAATATTTTCATCGAGGAATATCCATTCGTCAAATCCCTTTCAAAATTATCGAAAGCCTGGCAAACTTATTCTAAGCATACACTTTAGGATTAATCTAGCATATAAACGTCTCGTCAGTCGGTCACTCGCGGCTAGCCGCTGCCACGCTGTCTCTGTTTTTCCTTTCACTTTCGATTAACTTTCAAACTGAATGATTGTGTTTTCTTTTATTGTCGCTTCAGCAGTCATGATCTTCTATTCATTCGACTACCAAAAGAGGTTAGGTAAGAAAGTCTTATTGTATGATTTGCTTCGAAAAGAGCGTCTTTCATAGTGCTGCATGTGTTCAGAATACTGTTTGTATAGCCCACACGTCTGTAGTTACTAAGATGGAATTTCACCTACGAGTATATCACTTTGCGAACTACTCCTACTAAATTCCCATGAAAAGAAATGATGTATGTAGACTACAGAGCAAAGATGATGCCAAGCTTATATCACTTTTTCGGATTTCTTCAATTAGAAACATCATTATGTAAAATTCATTAGATCTTTTCGTGTAAGTTCTTGAGTTACTATCTTTGTACACATGACCTCCATGAACAGCGATCAGCTCACCATCTTCTACAGAAGATTTTAGAACAGAGAAAGAAAAATATCTCCTTTGTAAAGAGGAAGAAGCAAGTCCAGACTCAGCGAATAAGACGAAATTCGCCCTCAAATTCGAATTTCCCGACGTCAGAAACCGTTCGGTCTACTCTGACAATGGATGTTAATAAGTCGTAGCAATGGTTAATTTTTCATTGATTTATAGAATGCTGCAATTTGATTGGATTACCCAAACAAACATGCAAGCGAACTTTTTGCATTTCAACCACCCGATTTATGACGCTATAACCCTTTCTTTCAGAAAAGGGAATAAAAGAAAAAAGATTACACATAACTTTCTAGTGTACATTTGATTTTTCACATAGAAATGAGACACATTTTGGCAATCTTTCTCATGAAGTTATGTATCACATATTGCGGAGCGCCTTGATTCTTTTGATATCGATAGAAGCTTTTGTAAGCTTAACAGTCGCTTGTCATTCCTCCTTACGACGTGGTAGCGATCAGTCGCATATATTTCGTTCGATAAGATTAAAAACAGACTATACACCCTCTGCACTTTTTCTCTTAATCTCTCTCCAACCTCGAACCTCGGTCCAAATCGAAGACTTTAGAATCTCTCGTTCCCGAAGATTATCTAGTACAAATCATCCCAAGCGCCAGATCTTCAATAAAGTTAAGTCGCTCGACTGCAGAAATGACTGCTAAAGCAGGAGGTGGTACTGGCGCAAGCCGGTCGAGAAGAAACATAAACGCCGACAACAAAGCACAACAGTCCGCCACGACACAACAAGATGAAAACGTTAGCAGAAGCTCAATAGCGAAAACAATAAGCCAACCAAAATTTAACATTGCACCTCTGATTTTAGAGGGAGTTAAAATCAACAAAATTCAACTGAATGACATCCTTAAACAACACTTAAGCGATGTTAGAATAACAGATATCCAACTGAGCCGTACAGGAATTTTCACACTATATTCGGCTGACGCGAAATCATTCAACCGGCTGTTAAACGAATTAACAGCAATCTTGGAAAGTAATGGTCAAGCATCAGTCAAAGTATACGTTCCTCGTTTGATTCAGCGAATAACTGACACCGAAAAAGTGGCTTTTATCAAAAGAGTCGACCTTGAATTGCCGACTGAAAGAATAGCCGAAGCATTGAAAACCGTTGGTTTAGATGTAACGAATGTTATTNAAAAGATTAAAATGGCGAACGCATCTCGACCAGATTGAAGCTAAGATTGCTCCGCGGATCGGTCTTCTTCGATATCTATCGAGATCCGCACAGGAACCAAACAACAAGACGATGATAAATGTCTTCAAATCAATTGTACGCACAGTCATCATTTACGGTTATCCTGTCCTTCTCACAGCCGATCAAAAAATATGGGATCGCCTACAAATCATGCAGAACAAGGCAATCAGAGCTACATTAGGTTTACCCATATACACATCGGTCAAATACATCCGCCAAATCAGCAACATCCCAAAGATCAAGGACTACGCAGTAGGACTACTTAAACAAGCAATTCAAGCAGCGACAAACAACAGCGACATCACGCTTAAAAATCATCTAGTAGACATACTAGGAAAGATTTAAAAGAAATCACCAACGTCGTATTACATAGAAGCGTCGATAAACTTGATCATTCTTGTGTCGGCCGGGTCGGTACGAAAATCGTTATATCGGCCCAGGTCGATCATTCCGGCGACTGGATCCGTTGAAATCTGAGTCTGTTCCGGTACAGCTCTTCACGATTCCGGCACACTTTTCGCCGATTCCAGCAAGTTCCGGCAGGTTCCTTGCCGCCGGATTCCGACCGGAATTGCACAGGAAATATCCGATCAATTCCTGACCGTTTCCAGCTCGAAGTTTGCAGGAAACGGTCGAGAAATGACTGGAACCTACGTTTGAACTTCCGGCCGGAATCCGGCGGCAAGGAAATGGTCGGAAAACGTACCTAACCGGCCGGAACCGACCGTGCCATAATAACCTGGGAAAATAACGTACGAAACGTTTGATGTATAGGCAACGACATATACAATATAAAACGAATTCAATCCAGCTAACTATTCGTTCGATCTTTTTTCTCGTTCTGTCTTACTTTCATATGTAATATCGAATCGAGTTAACGAAACTAACGATTCGTTCGTCTAGCCAAATATGTTACTCTTTTCTATATGTAATCTGTAAAATATGCAATGTATACGCTGATTCTTTCGTTTCCAGCTAAACCGTTTTCCCCTTTCCATATGTAATATCGAATCGAATCAACGTGTTTGCTGACTCTTTCACCACTATCAAATCTTTTGCTCGTTCTTATATACAATACGAAAACAATTCAATCTATGTAACGATTAAACTGCTACCGTATAAATTCTCTTTCCTTTCCTTCAACTTCTTTTTTCTGTCATAACACATCACTAACGCACACCACTATCATACAGAAACCTATTTTCTCTCCATGCCTCTCACGCTTCTTTTACAAGGACAAAAGACATACGTCATGGGTCCTTTCTTTCTTTTTGTTTTTCGTTTTCTCGTGTCCAGCTTACGTTTAACTACTAACCGTTGATTCTATTGTCTATGCAGTATTGTTACACGAATAAAGCTTTGTTACCAAAAAAAAAAAGAAAAAAAAACAGTCGCTTGTCTTCATTCATTGCGACATGAACTCTTCCAGTGAAAATGAGTACTCCTCTCATATCCTCTACAACTTTCCATCATTATCTTCGAACCACAGCTCAACCAAATACACGCAAAACACATTTTCTTCGATAATCGAATTGTTTCATGTATATCAATCTAGTATTTCAAATATCGTCATTGAAATCTTGTAAAGTATCTTTTGGAAAGAGTTTTTCCAAGAAAATATTACCACTACCAACTACTGTATTCAGTTCGATCGAACATCTGACTACCGATCACGAGATACACTTCCGCCAGTTAAATGCATTTTCTCTTATGTACCTCAACTCCCTCGTTCATAGTTTCATTTCTCATACCAATGTGAGGCGGCTGCATATGCTTTATCTTTATCGATGTCAAGGTATCTCAAGCATCTCTCTCTCTCAAGCCAGAGAATTGTATAATATTCAATGATATCGAATATCTTTTAGCCAACTATCTTCCAGATTTACAGGAACTTCTAATTTCCACAGATGCAGCACTCGTTTTTACGCCGTCTATTCAAAACGATACTCGTTTGTTTATCAATCCATTTTGAACTCACAGACAATGGTTTTTCGAGATTGGCATATATTTCAAACAATTTTATAGTCAAGCAGTTGCCTATACATCAAGTCCATACAAAGTAAGTTCTGATGAAAAATTTTCACTTCAATCAAAAACCGAGCTCTTGAATTTTTTCAACAAAAACTTGCGATCTCTGTTCGAAGTGAAATAATGTGAATACCACGGTTCTACACAGTCAGTTCAACATATTCAGACTAGAGATGAAATGGTCATGAATCGATGTATGGAATCTTTTCCAAATACTACGAAACTGACTCTCAAAGATGATCTTTCGAAGATGGCTCATGACTCAATTCCAGCGGCTGTTAATCGTATTTTACCTTTAGAACAACTACAAACTTCAGTAACGCAACTTCTTAATCTTCGAATCTTGAATCTAATCGAAATCTTATATGTTATGTTGCTCCCTCGTGTTCAACATGTCTTGCAAAACAATATGGAGTCAGTCAGTTTTACAACTTCTCGGTCTCAAAATGAAAAACGGTTCAATTTAGTTTCATATTTATGTTGCTGGTAAGTGTCTCTTAATTTAAAATAAAGACATTCTAAATCAACTCCGGAAGAAATCTTACATTGTCACTGTC